TGAGCACTGGGTGAAGGCCCCCTTTCATGCGTTGGATAAGCCATGCTCTTCTGCTTCAATCTAGCTTACGCATCTCATAATGAGGGGGCTCAAAGATTCCTAAGGGCCTTTCCTATTTTATTTTTTATTCTGGGTGTCCAAGGGTTGAAGTGACAAGATCTGGCAGCCTCTCTCTAGGGGAAGACTACGCTCTAGGTTTCTCATTTTCTTAGCAGACAGGATCCTGGCAAATCACTTCAACAGATATGGAAAAGCGGTCTCTGGGGACAGACACCTCATAGACGAAAAGATCAGCCACAGTTCATGATTTTAGACACAGATCACTATGGCCAAAATAAATATCAGGAAAGCTTCAAGTTTCTTTGGGGGGAAAAAGAAAATCTTTCATAAGAATTCTTAAATCAACTTTGATCTCTCAATTTCTAGAAACTATTACATGCTCAGGTTGTGTAACCTTATTATTAAATGCATGTGTGTAAATGATAAACATCTTTATGTATTTACATATGCTTATTCCTCTGTGGAAACCCTGGTTGCCTAGTGGTTAAGTGCTACGGCTGCTAACCAAAAGGTCGGCAGTTTGAATCCACCAGCCGCTCCTTGGAAACTCTATGGGGCAGATCTTCTCTGTCCTATAGGGTCGCTATGAGTCTGAACTGACTGGATGGCAATGGGTTAATGGTGCCAAAAGGAGCCTAGTGGTGCAGTGGTTAAAGCACTGGCTGCGAAATGAAAGGTGGGTGGTTTGAACCCACCAGCTGCTCTGAAGGAGAAAAATGTGGCAGTCTGCTTCTATAAAGATTACATCCTTAGAAACCCTATGGGGCAGTTCTACTCTATCCTATACTGTTGCTATGAGTTAGAATCAGTTAGACGGCAATGGGTTTGGTTTCGTTTATTTTGGTTCTGCCCTTAGTTTTATGGTGAATTTTCAATCCTGGGACACAATCTTTACTCCTAAAGGATGGCTCTTCTGGGTGTTCAATGAAAAGCCCAAGGCATTTACCAAGCTCCTCTAACTTGATTGGGATTCAAACTCCAAACTCTTTCCCCTTCAGTGGGCAGCATTTAAAATCTCCAATAAGCTTTTTTAACTTCCTAGCTATTGCTTTCCACTGGGCTCATTGACACCTCCCCTCTACATGTGCAGTCTAGGGATCATCCAAGGATCGAGGGGAATTTATACACAGAATGAAGCGCTCCTCGCTATGGTTCTCTCCTTTCTTATACTTCCCGCCTTAATTCCCAGCCACTCTGGCAGCCCTGAACTCCATCCTCTGTGGCTTTCCTCATGAGTTCTAGTTGCTCTATTTGGTCTGGGGAGTATCCTCATGGCGGAAGCTATATAAGCATAGATCTTTCCCAGTCCAGTTATCTTCTTTCAAGGACCAAATTTCCTACAGTCTATGCCTTCTTTCAGTCAGCCTCTAGTACCTTCAAATAATTTAAAAAAATATTTTGTCCAGAGTTTATAGCAGTTATTTGCAGGAGAGTTAGTCTAATAAAAGCTATTTCATCATTATCAGTGCTGAAACTGTCATAGAAACGTTAACTTATGTTTGTGTGTGTGTGTGTGTGTGCGTGTATACTAAGAATAAACTGCACCTTTAATCTTTATGAACACTCATAAGATCATGAAATAATATATCCTGAAGGGTTCTCCAGGTGTTATCCAGAACACTGGGCAATGATTGTCTAAAACCTATAAAGATTAATCTCCTTTTAAAGGCAGCTAGTGAGGAAATCTCCTTCTTTTAAAGGAAGTTAGCGAGTCTTCTTCAGGAAATGATTTTCTCTGTGGAGACTCTCAACTTTATATTACAATTTAAGCCCATATTATGTCTTTAAACGATCCAGTGACTCATGGAATTATGCAGATAGAAGGGCTATACAGGCATTACTGAAGCCATGTGTGTCCCACCAAAGCCATAAGTATGAATCTTTCTTAGTACCTTTTGCATGTTAGCTCCTGTGTTTGCTCGGTCTCACCCTTCAGCTCCCATGGGCCTCCTAATTTTTGGTCTGTTTTACTTAGGCTCTCTCCCTTATTTCATTTCCTGGCATCTGGGTACTCCTGGTTCCACCCACCTGGCCCTGGAATCATTCCAATCGCTCTGACCCTTACCATTTAACAAATAATCTCAGCCCAGGTTCTCTACTGATTCTGACTCACAGCTTTGCTTTGTCTCCTGCAACCGGCTCAGCTCTCGGAATGATAAACAGGGAAAAAGCAAAATATCAGACCATTTATGTCCTCATTTTACCCCTTAAGTTGAATGACCTTTCTGATCCTCAGCTTTTTTATCTGTAAAATGGAGACACCGTCCCTGCTCTACATTTTATCTTTCCACCTAAATAAAGTTAAAATGAGGTGCTGTATATAAGAATGTAAAATGCTAGGAAAATCTAAGGTATTCTGAGTCCTTGTTCTTTATTCATAACGTACTGCTGCTCTTGCCAATTTGTAACAGAGCCAGGGGTAGAGGGCTCTTTAAGTCTTCCTTCTTTCAGTCTTTAAGAGGCTCAAGTTTACAACTCTTCACTTTTAACAGAGGTCCTTGCAACCTCAGATGTTCTTTATTTCTGTTCTTTCTACTTCAAGAGGCAGGAAGTTAGGCAGATGACTAAGGATCTGCTTTGCTCAAAGGCAGGGACGTGAGGTGATGCTTCAAGCTTCCACTGTTCTCTTTTAAAAGTATTTCCTCATACAACTTATTTATTTTTTATACGCTATGGAAAATAAGAAGGCCTGGTGGTGCAGTGGTTAAGTGTTTGGCTGCTAACCAAAAGGTTGGCAGTTCAAATCCACCAGCCACAACTTGGAAACCCCATGGGGTACTTCTATCTGCTCAGTCCTATAGGGTCTCTGTGAGTCGGAATCGACTTGACGGCAACAAGTTTGTTTCTGGTTTTACAGGAAATAAGGAGTTATGAAAAGCAATTATCGTTTTGGGCGGGATGAACCTTTTTTTTTTTTTGCAGCTACTTTTTTTTTTTTTTGGTACTTCAGGTGAGGGTTTACAGAACAAATAGTGTCTCATGAAATAGTAGTACAAACATTGTTTTATGACATTGGTTAACAACCCCACGACATGTCAACCCTCTCCCTTCTCGACCTTTTTTTTTTTTTTTCCCGGGATGAGCCTTTAGAAATGCATAAGGGAAAGAGAACTTTAATGGCACATCAAAGCGCTTAAACAAAATCGGTATCTACTGAAGGTGACTTTAAAACACGTAAAATTAAACATAGGATACTAGCAGTTTTCCAACATATTTTGTATATTCCTTTGTATGTCTTCAAAATAATTTTATTATTAAGAATTTTAAAAAAGAGAAGCTACAACAATTAACACTTTCATAAAATAATTTGTAAAAAAATATAACAAACCCTCAATTAGCTTACATTCTGGTAGCATCAATTCTTATCCAGTCTCACAAGTTACTCAAAAGAACTGAAATTTTCAGATTCTACCCTTTTCAGTTCTCTAGGATGCCTCCAGATGGCATTAAAACCCTTTTCCCATTATAATTTGCAACAAAAAAATTTTAAAAACTAGTAATTATTTTAGCCATTTAACACTAGTCACATTCATTATTATCATCAGAAACCATGACAATGGAACGATTTAGAGCTTTTAGGACAATATCCTAAAAAAGACAAACATGGTGGCGCAGTGGTTAAGCGCTCGGCTGCTAACCGAAAGGTTGGCGGTTTGAACCTACTAAGCCAGTCCACGGGAGAAAGATGAGTAGTCTGCTTCTATAAAGATTACAGCCTTGGAAATCCTATGGAACAGTTCTACGCTGTCCGATAGGGTTGCTACGAGTCAGAATCGACTCGACAGCAATGAGTTTGTTTTCTTCTGGTTTTATGAAATACCTAGCCATTCTGTGCAAACCAAAGCATCTTTCTAGGCTGAAAAATAGACCTTGGACAAAATAAGACACTTAGTAATATTTTATCACAAACAGTGATTTCTAATGAATAGCCCTTTAAATGCCTAATAATAAGAGCCCTAGTCTGCATGTAGATAGATTCAAAAATCTCTCCTATGGTGAGAAAACATATCCCACCCTGAGAAGAGAGAAAAAGAAAAGATTTTAGAGGTACGAACCAGTTGCTGATTCCTGCGGGAACGAAAATAAAATCGTTTGTCAGCCTGTGAATGATTTTACTAAAACCTTGGTATATCAACTTGGCATCAAATTCACCACTAAAAAAAAATACGGATTCTTTGAATATTAAGAACCAAAACCAAACCAAACCCATTGCCGTCGAGTTGATTTTTTTTTTTTATTTTTTATTTTGTCGAGTTGATTTCAACTCACAGCAACCCCACAGGACAGAGTAGAACTACCCCACAGGGTTTCCAAGGAGCAGCTGGTGGATTCAAACTCCTGACCTTCTGGTTAGCAGCTGAGCTCTTAGCCGCTGCGCCGTCATAAATATTGAGAGGAAAAAGATAAAACACAGAGAGAGAAACACGTGCTTTACACGTGTTGTTTCTTATCTTTTTCAAACGGATTTTGTTAAGTCAAAGACACCAGTCAAGTCTACAGACTCTAGAGATACCAATTGTTGTATTTTTCATGTGATTCAGAGATGAGGTGGCAGATGGCAGGCTTTTAAATGACATCTGCCCTTCACAGGTGGGTGGGACAGACTATCTCCCAGGATGTGGAGAAGTTTCGCAATGACGACGGCGCTGAATGTATCCAGCCAAACTCTGAAGGGTTTACTTCTTCCCTCCTCCTGCCCTATGCACGTCTCAAATTTCATTACATGTCTACCTTTAGAAAGAGCATCTGCGTTTCCAAGATCACTCTCACTCATGCTGCTAAAGCATAATAAAGAACCGAAAATGCAACTGCATCCGAAAGCATTTAAAAGACATTATCACGAGACAGGAGAACTGTTATTACAAGACACTTGCAGGGTTGCATATTATAAGGCATATTAACGAACAGTCGTCTCTGGCAGAAACACAGAGGGGACTTACGATGTATTTGCTGGACCATTGTCTGGGCTCCGTGGCTCCGCATCGCCTTTCTCTTAAAAAAGAAGCAGAAGAAAAATACCAACACGTGAGTGTGACAGTCTTTAAGATTGAAGAGAGATTAAATAAATTTCCATGCTTATATTAACAATCTTTCAAAATGTGCAGCAGGAGGCTTTTAAAACATATTTTATTGTCTGGGAACCTGATCTGCAAAATAACTTCTTCTATGCCATACAATTGCCCAGGCACGGGTCTGTCAGTGCGTACTGCAGACCTATTTACCAACAGCCAGAGGCTCAGAGCGAAGACCTCGCCAAAAGATGAATCTCTCACAGGTGGAACCTGTTGCCTTCCACTTCATTTTACAGAATATTTAAAGAAATAAACTCCATTGGGCACTTTGAACTTTGATCCCATCTGCTAACACAAGCTAAACTGTGTCAGGCTGAATCACAGCTTGGAGAAGAGAATTTTACGGAACACTGAGGTCATACCACGTGTTACAAGGTCCCCAAAATGACACCCGTGGAGAGTGCTGGCAGCATGTTTTGGGGCCCCTATGTTAATGAAGAATAAGATATAAACCAGAAACCCTTTCTGACTGTCTGAAAAGCTAGTTAAAGAAACATTTCTCTGGTCTGTCGTCATCAAGGATTTAATGGGTTTTAGTCAAGGGAACCTGGAACCAGTTGACTTTGGGAGTTTTAAAGGGCAAATTCCTCTCGCAATAGGCACAATGTAATTCCTAGATCCTCAACTACACATGGTTTGCACCATGCATCGTCACTCCGTAAGGAGCTTCTTTTCATTCCCTTGAGGCTACACGATGGAAGGAAGAAAGGCCATCACTGACCACATGACTTGGCTGGGATTGCTCATGGCTGTGCAGCAGCGATAATAGCTGAATAAGGTCCTCGGGTGGCACAAATGGTTAAGTGCTCCCCTGCTAGCTAAAAGGTTGGCAGTTTGAACCCACCCAGAGGCACCTCAGAAGACAGGCCTGGCAACCTGCGTCCGAAAGGTCACAGCCTTGAAAACCCTAGGGAGCAGTTCCACTCCACACACACGGGGTCGCCGGAAGTCAGAAATGACTCATGGCAATTGACAATAACAATAGTTGAATAAACTCCAGAAAAGGTTGTGTGCTGCAAGAAATGGGCCTGATGGTGGCACCCGACTTTGAGTTCTTTCAAGTCAGGCCTTGTGGTGTCAAAGAATCCCCTGGTGGACCGTTTAGGGCCTCAGGCCTACGGCCTCTACCACAGCCATTTTCATTAGCGGTCGACATTAGCCTGTGGCCCCTATTCGCAAGAAGAACCCCCTCGCTTACGAAATGAACACGTTCCTAAGACAGCTTCCAAACTGAACTGAAGATAAACTTTGTCGTTTCTCTTTTTCCTATAGGAAATTGAATAGTTATGAAAAAAAAAGACACCCAAATCTGTCTCAGACATATCTCTAAACCTAAGGGGAGTCTACACAGTGCCAGAACAATCCTGAGAGACAGTTACTTTGTCAAAAAGTGGGCCACTTTAGTGAAAAACAGGGAGCCATAAAATCAATTATAATCGCCCTGATAACCAAAACCCAAACCTGCCGCTGACGATCGATTCCGACTCCTAGTGACCCTACAGGACAGAGCAGCACTGCCCCACGGGGTTTCCAAGGAGAAGTTGGTGAATTCGAACTGCCGACCTTTTGGTTAACAGCCAAGCTCTTCACCACGGCACCACCTGGGCTCCAACTGCCTTGAGAGCAAACATGAATTAATGTTTGCTGATCAGGCTGCGAGAACCCAAACACGCACGAAACGATGATGAAGTAAAAGCAAAGGCAGCAAATGGCTGCGTTTTTTTTTACCTCATACTCTTATATTTTGTCTTCCAGACCAGGTCTGTGGCGGACTCATTCAGCAGATACGCAAGGCCTGGTCAACTGACTTCCGTGCTGGAAAATGACCCAATTTACTATTTTCCAGAACCATTTTACTACTGAGCAACCACAATCCCTGCCATAATCCCGATAGAGGGAGTCGTAACACCTGCATTGAATAATACAAAACTACATGGAGGTTTAATTTTTATCAGAGAAACTGATCATCTCCCCCCATTAATTTGGGGAAATGGGTTCTCGTTCCCCGTCACTAGCCATCAGCAGTCCCACCACGTGCAACCATAATCAAGAAAGTAAGTGAAACAGCACAGCCGACAGCAGCAGGCAGGATTAAACATCTCCAAACAACTTACGTCCGAAAGCAGGGCATCAATAATAAAAAGGAAGACATTGTTTGGTTCTTGGAGTAAATATGTTTTACCTTGCCCAAGAATTCTGCCACATAACCCGCAGGTGGAGAGTGGGCAGCCTTATTGCGCGTGGGATCTGGGGTCTGCGTGACCTGCTGGCTGGATTCAGCGCGGGGACTACGCTGTAGCTGACTACCTCTGCTCTTAGCAGCACTTATGTTGTGGCAACACGGAAAACGGAACAGGTTCTGGCACACACGAAAGAGACAATGGGCCAAACGGGACACTTACGAACAGTCTGAGAGTTGAGTGGACCCAGCAACTTCGGTGCTGATAACGAATTCACCTTTCTGGTGAAAAGCGAGCTCAGAATGGGGATAAGATTCACATTATTTCCCTCCCACAGAAAGACTATACACAAAATTCCTCCCAACATCCTGAAATTTCTGATGATGCAATTTCTGAAGTTCACGTGAAATGCTGACACTTGTAAGCCACTGAGAATCGCAGTCTCTTTATCAGGACCCAAGGGAAAATGGTGAAAGGAAGCTACAATATTCTCAGGAAGGGATTTTTAGTTGGGTGCTCAGCAGCTGTCTCACTCAAGAGGACTCTGCGGTCTGGAGTGGTTCTGGTTACTTCGGCCTGGTGGCGCAGTGGTTAAGCGCTTGGCTGCTAACCGAAAGGTCAGCAGTTCAAACCTATCGGGGCTCCACGGGAGGAAGTCGTGGCTTTCTGCTTCTGGAAAGATTATAACAACAACAACAACAAACCCGTTGCCACTGAGTCGATTCCGACTCACAGCGACCCTACAGGACAGAGCAGAACTGCCCCCTAGCGTTTCCAAGGAGCAGCTGGTGGATTCAAACTGCTGATCTTTTGGTTAGCAGCCGAGCTTTTAACCATTGCGCCATCAGAAGATTTCTCAATATTCAAAAAACAAACAAACAAAAAACCCACCAAATCAGTTGCCGTTGAGTTGATTCTGACTCAGGGTGACCCCATGTGTGTCAGAGTAGAACCATACTCCACAGGGTTTTCAACGGCTGATTTTTCCGAAGTAGATTGCCAGGGCTTTCCTCTGAGGCATCTCTGGGTGGACGCAAAACTCTAACCTTTCAGTTAGCGGTTGAGTGTGTTAACTGTTTGCACCACCAGGGACTCCTCATCAATATTAGATGGTGCCTGATAATTTTTAATATGAAAGGTATAAGGTATTTAATATACTTACACTACCACTGTCTCTCACCCTTTCAATTTTTATTAGTTTTTTAAAAAAAATTTCTTTTAGTTCTTCTAGCAGGTATTTATAATTTTAAATATATTTAATCTTTTATTTCTTCATTAATCAACTTCCGACACTCTCTTTTCTTCTACACTATGCACAATAAGGAAATTCACTCATTATCTTTCCCTTCCGCCTTTTCTCTCCCTATCACCCACCTCTGTCTAGCTATATCTTTTCTCTTACATAGCCAAGGTTTAAAGTATTTATATTCTGTTTAGTAATTATTAATGAGTCCCCCTCATTAATAGCAATTTAATTTTTAGAATTGCCTATAAATCAACTAGAAAAATTATAAACGAATAATCAGAATTTACAATATTATAGCCATACAAATACTAAGCACTAGAGGACAAAGTAGTGTGACTTGACTTGTACAAAAGTGTTATGGAATGAACTGTGTCCCCCAAAAACTACATGTCGAATCCCCAGCCTTTGTACTTGGGGATGTGATCCTGTTCGGTAATAGGGTTTTTCTTTTGTGATGTTAGTAAGGTCATACCAGTGTGGGTGGATCCTAAACCTAATCAATTCTTGGTTATAAAAAGACCAGAATAGACGCAGACACACACACACGTGGGAAGACAGACGCCATTTGAGTATCCTCTACAAACCCAGGACTACCAACAAGAAGAAACCCACACACCAAGACTCTGATTTGAACTTTTAGCTTCCAGAATGGTGAGAAAGTAAATGTCTGGTCTTTCAAGCCTCCCGCTTGTGGTATGTGCGTCACAGCAGCACGGGTAACTAAGACAAGAACGAAACGCCACCAAACCCGGACGAAGGCAGATGTTCCCTTCATTTCCGTCTTACGGATTCTCATTCTCAGAGCCCACCACACTGCAATGCAGTCTGTTTCAAATAAAAGCCACGCCTTTCCCAAAAAACGGTGAACTAGAAGAGCATACATATAATATACATAAAAATGTACATGCATATGAATGCACACACACACACACATACACACACACACACACACACACACACACACACACCTTTAAGGAAAATAAAATGAATAACTGTGAAAACACCTTCCAGATCAAGAACTGGAGGATGGTCAGTAAATACTCCAGAGGCTCCTAGAGGCCTCTGCCAGAAAGCATCTTCTTCCTGCCCTCCCACCAGAAAGCATCCTCTTCCTGCCCTCCCACCAGAAAGCATCCTCTTCCTGCCCTCCCACCAGAAAGCATCCTCTTCCTGCCCTCCCACCAGAATGCATCCTCTTCCTGCCCTCCCACCAGAATGCATCCTCTTCCTGCCCTCCCACCAGCAAGCATCCTCTTCCTGCCCTCCCACCAGCAAGCGTCCTCTTCCTGCCCTCCCACCAGCAAGCGTCCTCTTCCTGCCCTCCCACCAGCTACCTAGCACGTGGCATGTTTTGTTCGTTGCTCCTTTTCCTGATAGCTTTTACTATCCATGTACATATTTGTAAATAAAAGTGTTGTTTAGTTTTTCACGTTTTGAGCTTCATTTATATGAATGGAATCACACTCTATACGTTCTTCCGAGACTGACTTCCGTCACTGAACATTGTGATCTTTAGATTCCGCTAATGGGGCATGTAGCTTTGGTTCATTTACCCTCACTGCTGTGTGGTATCCCAATGTACACATATACCACAACTGTCTGATTCATTCTACTCCTCCTGGGCATTTATTTTTTTTCCATCACAAACCACGCTATTACAAACGTTGGTGAGCAGCCATCCTCGTTCACATGTGTAGGAGTTTCTGGGTCTCAGGGTCTGCATATGTCAAACTTAAAATTTAAATTCCTCAATGCTTAATAAGCTTCCATTTTATAACAGTAAATTAAATTAACGATTCAGCAAACTGACCAAAGTATCTGCCTTGTAAGATAACTGGATTGAAAATCATTTCCTGTTTAATTTATACACTCTTTTCCCTTCGTAGCTATAGAACACAGTTTTTCCAATTTCAAAAAGAGACCAACAAAGCAATGACCTAAAGTAGTGAGGGCTAATCAATCGATCCACACATGCTCCACAGAGCACAGTGCAACAGACAGGGCTGGCTTTCCTTCAGTTCAGTCTTTCTCTATTCCCTACACGTTTACTGGCGTCACGGCTTAAGGAACGCACACCGAACCCAAGAAAGAGCGTGGGACATGCTAGTGGGATCAGCTCTCCTAAAGTTTCAAATGCGCTATCATCTACAGAGAAGTTCCAGAGTTTTAAATAGTAGGATTACCTTTTTATAGATGTGTTTGCTTTAGGGGAAGATGTATTTGAAGAAAAGACAAAAAAAGGAAAAGAAAAAAAAGTCCCACCCTCCAGAAAAGAGAAAGCCAATCAAAAGTTTCCCTAGACAATGAGATGCCAGAGGTGTTTGTACCACACAAAGCAGATGTAACTTCCTCTTCCACAGAAGATGAGTCTACTAAATTGCAGTTTAAGCATAAGAATATAAATGACATGCTATAAAAACATACCAGATGCATACAAGGATTCAATCTCTGAATGGAACAATAGAAGCAACCTTCTTGGGAGTCAAGGTAGTGGAATGGAAAGTCTGTTGGCTTTGGGGCAGAGACCCCTGAATTTAAATCCAAGCTGTCATTTTTTTAAGCCACGTCACCCTAGGCTAGTTACTTAACCTCAGAATTTCATTTTTTCATGTGTAAAATTGAGATAGTCACGCCTATCTCCTATAGCTATTGTGAGGATTAACTGAAATCTTATATGCCAAGTTGCTGGTGCATCATACAGACTCAACAACTCTTTCTTTTGCTCTTCTTTCTGTCAAAAACTCCAGTCAAAGAGAAGGCACATTTATTGATCTATTAAATCCTCCTTCTACCCTGAGCTATTTAAATTCAAATGGAAATGGTGAGCAAAGCAATGGCAAGTCTTTAGTACCTGTCTTAGTTATCTAGTGCTGCTGTAACAGAAATTCCACATGTAGATGGCTCTAACAAGCAGGAATTTATTCTTTCACAGTTTAGGAGGCTAGAAGTCTGAATTCAGAGCACCAGCTCTAGGAAAAGGCCCTCTCTATCCGTCAGCTCTGCGGCAAAGTTCCTGTCTCCTTTCTACATCTGTATGCCCAACGTTCCTTGGAGATCTCCATGTGTCTTGGCACCAATCTTCCCCTGGGTCTAGGAGTTTCTCAGTGCAGGGACCTTGGGTCCAAAGGGTGTGCTCTGCTCCTGGCTCTTCTTTCTTGGTGGTAGGAGGTCCCTCTCTCTCTGCTCACTTCTCTCTCCTTTCATCTCTTGTAAGATAAAAGGTGATGCAGGCCACATCCCAGGGAAACTCCTTACATTGGATCAGGGCTGTGACCTGAGTTAAGGGTGTTGCATCCCACCCTAATCCTCTTTAACATAACATAATCTTGCCTCATTAATCACAGGCAGAGGTTAGGATTTACAACACACAGGACAATTACATCAGATCACAAAATGGAGGACAACCACACAACACAAGGAATCATGCCTAGCCAAGCTGACACATATTTTGGGGGCACACAATTCAATCCATGACAGTATCCTCTAGTCTTTGGCATAGGATGCTGATGTCTGCACATCTCATGGCCTTAACCATGCACTTCTTCTGATTTCTTACTATTTCATTTATTACTTCCCTCAGATTTCAACTCCCTTGGCATTTCACCTCTTTGCTGGTGCCAGTGCTCACAGCAAACTCCAACAGAGAGTGGAATAATTAGGTGACACTGCTGCGCACCCTTACAGCATCGTTTCCCTACACCGACTGTTCTCTAGCCCTGCATTCAAAGCCCCGGGCTTCCTCACATTAGCATTTGCTCTGGTGTCTTTTCTCCTCAGCCGTTCTGCCCTCACTGATGCCCAGTGGGTGAACGCTTAATTCTAAAGACACATCTACTTGCTCACAGTGATTTTCATCCTCAAATATAGCTTTGTAATTGACAAGAGGTGCTCTCAGCTGACTGGCTGGCCACGAAACTAAGAAAAGACAGTCTTTATGGTTGTGCCCTCCTGACACGAGCGGGGCAGGTCTTGCATTTTTAATGTCCAAGACATCATTCATACCAGCTATGCCAAAGAAGCGAATTAAAACACTACTTCACGGAATGGTAACCTCCGCTCTCTGACAACAAAGCCCACATGCTTTATTAGACACTAAATTCAATAAGGAGCCCTGGTAGCGCAGTGATTAAGAGCTGAGATACTAACCAAAAGGTCGGCAGTTCGAATCCACAGGCTGCTCCTTGGAAACCCTATGGGGCAGCTCTACTCTGTCCTACAGGGTCACTATGAGTCGGAATCGACTTGTTGGCAATGGGTTTGGGTTTTTTTGGTTAAATGCAATAAGATTACTACTTCCTCAGTGTCTATCTCTAGAAGAGGGTAAAGCATACATCATACTCAGCAAGGTGTGATTTTTTTTATGGATTATAAGGTCATTTATTTTGATGTCTTTTCATTGGTTGGTTTTTTGTGGGGGGGCATTCTTTTTTTTTTTTTTTTTTTTTTTCAATTTAAACCACTCATTAGCTGTTTTATTTTATTTTTTTCTTCCACATACACTAAATCTTGCTGCTCCTTCCCCCTAGGATTGTTTTCACAATTCACCATTCTATGTTTTGGTCCTTCTTCCTTTGAATAAAGACACATGAGCACTCCAGGTCACCATGAATCTGATCATCCATTTGGGCAGTACTTGAACAAATGACCTTTTCCCACTTGATTTTAGTTTTTAGCATTTTTTTTTTTTTTTTGTCTTCATTTTCACCTACTGTCTCTTGCATGCTCATCCCCCTCCCCATGCTCTGCGCCATATGCAGCTATAAAGAGAAGCCTTTCTTACTTGGATTATTGTGTCCGGAGGATACAAGCTGAGAGTCCTAAAAGAACAAGAAATATCAGTTAATTTTCTTATTTTGACTTTCAAAACCTAGGTTGAACATGAGCTACATTACTGGTCATTCAGAACCTACTCCCAGATCCTAAACTCTCTATCAGCTACTGTAATGAGAAACACTTACATAACCGTGCTTGTTCAGCAGTGCGGGGAACACAGTTCACACAGACTTCTGTTTTGTATTCTTGACTTTTAATCGAACCCACTTCCCATTGAATGTACCTGGACTCCAACCACTTTTCTCAGATGAGGCTGGCAACCAGCCCACGAGGGACACTTTATTGAACAAGCGTTGTCCATCTCACATTGGTAGAAGGAGAGATTATTACAGATTTCCACTTATCTGAAACAGCAGGAAGCCCAGGCTACACAGTATTTGGAGTTTAGTTACTGTTCAGGTAAACAGAGATTGAACTTGATTTATTTGCATTAAAATGAAATGCAAAGTTTTGTCTTGAGAATTCACCTCCTCTTGCCTTCCCAAATGCCATTTAATGTGAAACGTAAGGGAGATTTATAAAATAATGAACTAATTGACATGGTAGACATGCAAAAAGATAAATACCGACACATAAAATCTAGCAAAACTCCTTTGTAATTCTGGCATGTGGAACAAAAATCCAGTGGCATGGAGTTAACTCCTGTTAGATGGCTTAATGTATTTTACCAGATTTTTGCTACACGAAGTGTAGTTGTTATGGGAAGGGTGTGTCATTTAATGTGGCATATTCAAATCCATGTTAACAACGTCTGTTTTTAAAAGGAGTTCCACTGTAATAGTATATGATAAGCCAACCTGGCATGCAGAGGGTGAGTGGGATGGTAGAGGAAGGAAGGGAAGGATCCTATACTGTTTCAAGCACAATAACTTGCACACAGATGCCTACTAATCTTCCTTTGGTGTTGCTAATAACAGGCCACTCATCTGAAGAAAAGAAACAAGCTCCACGTTAACCCTAAGATTCACCTTTTTGAAACAGTATATGAAAATAAAATATTGTTCCTGAAATTATGGGCTAAAACACAATCCTCAAAACTTATTTTGGCCTATTTTGAATAAATGTTGTTACAAGCAGGCATCCACAGTTAAAAGCCCCAAGTAGATGAGTGTGTTCTTCTTCCTTTCTAAATAATTTAGATTTTTATACAGTTGGCCCTCTGTATCCTCGGGTTCTGCATCCGAGGATTCAACCAACCGCGGATCAAAAATATTCGGAAACAAACGAACAAAGAGACTTTCTTTCCTTGTCATTATTCCCTAAACAATACAGTATAACAACGACTTACATAGCTTTTCCATTGTATTAGGTATTATAAGTCATTGAGAGAGGATTTAAAGTATACGGCAGGATGTGCACAGGTTATATGCAAATACGACACCATTTTATATAAGGGACTTCAGCATCTGCAGATTTTGGTATCCTTGGAGGTTCTGGAACCAATCCTCCAAGGATACCGAGGGACAACTGTATCAGAACATAAATTAGGTTTAGCTTTGATCGGTGAGAAACACTGAGAGCCCTATTTAGTTGACTGCTCTGTGCCAGCTGTAGATTTTGGCCCTTTGGAGGCGTCCTGGACTAGAGTGGTGAAGACTGAGTCATCATCGAACAGGCAAGAATGGTAACTGGGACAGTTTTCAGTATGAAGTTCATTCTGAAAAATCAGCACTGAGAACCTATGGAGCACAGTTCTATGGTGACACACACGGGATTGCTAGGAGTCAGAATCCACTGGAAGGCAGACGGCAGAGTGCCCCGAAGCCGAACCTGCTGCTGTCGAGTTGGTTCTGGGGGTCACGTGCACAGGTTTATCTGGAGTAGCAACGAGGAGGACCACTTGAAGTTACTTAAAAGAAAATCTACAGAGGCAAATTTCTTCTTCTCCATCTTTAATTCCTGAAGTCCCAACACCTAACTCTTCTTCGGTACATGGGACTCCTAAGGGCTGAGAAGTTCATACAAATCATTTTGCTGAAGACAGAAACGACCAGGCAGACTAGTATGTGAGAAAATCCTTCAGTGAAACACTGTAATAAATACCGTATTTCATCAAGTGTAACATGCCATCAAAATCGTAGGAGGCCCCATTATTTCATGTAAAACTAAGAAGGAAAAATGCTACCCATTAATTGTAAGGTGTCATCAACTATAAAACGAATCCTGATTTTAGGGATCTTAAAATGTGAAAAAATGAGGAGCCCTGGTGGAGCAGTGGTTAAGAGCTCGGCTCTTAACCAAAAGGTCATCGGTTCGAATCTACCAGGTGCTCCCTGGAAACCCTACGGGGCAGTTCTACTCCATCGATAGGGTTGCTATGAGTTGGAATCCACTTGACGGGTTTGGGTTTGGTTTTGGTTTAGAATCAGTGCAACACCAGTAGTTTTTAAGCCATATCTCTGGTGGGGGACCATATTCATACTGTGAAGGCATTATTTAAAAATGGCTTTCTGGGACCATGTAGGACTATTCTACTCATTTATCTCATTGCTTGTCTATCAGGACATTAGGACTACGAAAGGCACCAAATGGAGACATAGTTCCTCTATTTTCAGACCCCCCCAAATAAGGCTAATTCCTACAGGGAAAAGAACCGCCTGATTCGGCTGGGCCTCCCTTCACCCCCACCAACGATTTCTTATCCCTTTTATTTTATAAAGCTTAAAAACTTGAAAAAATATAATTTACAACTGAAATATTTACTTTGAGGTAATGCATAACATGAAGTTTTATTCCAAACATTTTGTGATAGTTTTTGAAGCATGCTAGCAATCCAAAGAGGGCGATTTCTAATAAACTTCCCAACTTCAAAACACTCTACTTCACACTTGATGGCTTTTGTTGTCGTTCTCGTGTATAAAGAGAAAGGCAATAGGATTCTCATTTCTGTAATAATGTTAGGATTCTTCTGAACAATGCTTTACAAATCAATCAGCAAGAATCGTTTCAGGCCAGGTCTGATCCCACTGGATTCAGCATCTGTTGCCACTTGAAATGCTTGTGAAATGCTGTCAAGTTTGGACGTATGTCTCCTGCGGATGGAACAAAGCTCTATAATTTTGAGTTTTTTATCTGCATTTTAAAACTTATGAGATTGCTGCAGAAATGAAAGGAGAAGGGCAAAGTGAATTCGTTGTTTTCCCTCTTGGTTGAAATACCTGATAATGACAGCCAATTTAAAGGAGTCATGCCTTTTCTTTCCCAAATTCAATTACTTTTGAGATTTGAAGAATGAGGCGGTTTGTCTAAGGAATTGTGACTCCAAATGAAGTCCTCAGAGAATAGGAAAAAAAATCTAAGCTCAGTATCAATTGACTTTACTATATATTATGTCCTTCAATACCCAGACAAAACGGGGGAAATTCTCGGAAGTATTTCTCTAATTAATTTAGTGGGACTGGTAACTCAGAATGCATGGTTAAATCGACTTTCCTTGTGAGGACAAATTGCCCCCTTAATCTTAATAAGGGCTTCGTCTCATTGTTTATTAGCCTTTGTGGAGATTCTGCCCCTCAAATTCTGTGACTAATTCTAGCTCTTACACAGTAGCAATAGTAATAGTCTGAAACGTTAATGGCCTAATTAATAAATTGCAAGTCTCCAGCTGTCAGGATACTAATTAGTTAAGACAGAGGTGAAAAGAGATGCACTTCGTGAAAATTAACAACAGTCTGGGTGGTAGGCAGAATAATGCACCCCCCAAAAATGTTCATGTCCTAATCCCTGGAATTTGTGAATATGTTACCTTACATATCAAAAGGGGCTTTGCAGATGTGATTGAGTGAAAGATCTTGAGACCAGGAGATTATTCTGGATTATCTGGGTGGCTCAACATAATCGCCTGTAAAACCCATTGCCATCAAGTTGATTCCGACTCATAGTGACCCTATAGGACAGAGCAGAACTGTCCCATAGGGTTTCCAAGGAGTGGCTGGTGGATTTGAACTGCCCACCTTCTGATTAGCCCCTGAGTTCTTAATTGCCATCCTTATAACAGGGAGGAAGGTGGGGTCCCAGAAGAAGACGTAAGGACGGAGGCAGAGGTCGGAGCGATGCAGACCCCAGGCCAGGGAACGCAGGCAGCTCCTAAAGCTGGGTGAGGCAAGGAAACAAATCTCCTAGAGCTCCAGCGGGAACACAGCCCCAGCGGCACCTTGATTTTAGCCCAATGAAGCTGATTTCCGATTTCTGACTTCCAGAATTGTAAGATAATACGTCTGTGTTCTTTTAAAACAGCAAGTTTGTGGTAATTTGTAACAGCAGTAATAGGAAATTAATGCAGTCTTATTTCATTTGTACAGGATAAATCAACAGTACACACTTATTGTGAGGTTTTTTTTTTTTAGAGGCATTATTTAAAAAAATGCAATGTTCCTATACTTTGTAAAACTACTTATTCTTTCTCTCTTGGACAAAGTAAAGTGATCTAGAGGTGAAACAGTTTCATAAAAATTCTACAGTAGTCTTCAATAAGACATACTTATTAAAAATTTAAATTTGAAATCCTGTGTTCTACACAATAGCTAATAATGCATCTTTCTGAGATACTTTTAACTTTCTGCTTCGAAAAAGGAATTTTTTGCACAAATGATTTGAGGTCTTTATTTCGTGTCAGGAGTTAAGTTACTGCTCAAATGTAAGTATCTACATCAAAAAACAAACGACACAAACTTGTACAATCCTTTCGGAAAAGTCAAACGAGCTTTGGTACGTGCTCAGTTATATCAGAAATTGTGCTTATACCACAGACGTGTATACAACAAAAATGTTTATTTCATTGTATTTTGGATCAAGTCATCATTTTGGCTAGATTATGGGCAAAGATTGTAAGGATTTTGCAGTTTATTCTAGTGTGGCAGGATGTCATTGGAAAGTTTTTCTTTACGTATTTTCTTTTCATCTTTTTCATTGTTGTTGATTTTGTGTTTGCCGAGTCTTTATATTTTTCTAGTTTGTTATTTTGACTTGCAGGATTGTTAGCTTC